GAATACATTAAACATCTGGAAGAATTAGCAAATCTAGTTACTTAGCACAGGATGACCTTGAACACAAGGTAATCCTTTTGCCTCAGCCATTCAAGTTTTGATATTACAGGCTAGTGTTATAATGCCTGGCTTGAAACTTCTTTATTTTCTTTTTTTGAGATAGGGCTTCATGTAATACAGTGTTCTGTCTGCATGTATGTCTGTGGGCCAGAAGAGGACAACATATCTCATCACTGATGGTTGAGAGCCACCATGTGGTTGCTGGGAATTGAACTCAGAACCTCTGGAAGAACAGCAGTGCTCTTAACTGCTGAGCCATCTCTCCAGGCCCCTAGCTTTGACCTCATAAAAGGCCAATGACAACAATGGCCTTGAACTTCTGATCCTTCTGCCTCTACTTCCCAAGCGCTAGGATTAGAGGCATACACTACCACACCAGGTTATGTGGTGCTGAGGATGCAACCCAGGGCTTTGTCCATGCCAGGCAACACTCTGCATTATAGCTAATCCCTAGGGCAGCGCAAAGAAAAACAAGGTGTGCATATGTAGAATTAACTAACAATAACAAAACCTCCCAAGGTCAACATTTACTAAATATACCCATTTAATAGGGAATTATTAAAACCATAGCCCAGTTCCTACTCTCCTTTTTTTTTTCCATAGATGACAGTTTATTATTATTTTCTTTGCCTCTTTTTCTCTCTCCCTTTTTTTTATTTTTTATTTTTTTGGTTTTTTTCGAGACAGGGTTTCTCTGTATTGTTTTTGGAGGCTGTCCTGGAACTCGCTCTGTAGACCAGGCTGGCCTCAAACTCACAGAGATCCACCTGCGTCTGCCTCCCGAGTGCTGAGATTAAAGGCGTGTGCCACCAATGCCCAGTCTTTTTCTTCCTTTTTTAAATGTCTTTATTATTTGTGTGTCTGTATGTCTCACAAACACATACAGACAAACAGAAGAAAGCTTGCAGGAGCCAGTTCTCCACCTGGGATCTGATGTAAGTCATCACAGCATCCTCACCCGCTGAGCCCCCTCCTCTGTGCTTTTCTTTTCTTTCTGAGACAAAGTCTTATGCAGCTCAGGCTGGCCTATGACCCAGGATGTAACTGAGACTGGTTTTGAACTTGTGATCCTTCTTCCTCTACCTCCTAAATGCTAGGATTACAAGCACATACCACTATGCCTAGCAGTAGCTCTTGTTTCTTCTCAATATTTTTAATAGGAAACATGTCACTAGGATAATACTAAAATTTAAACAATAACCGCAGAAAAAAAGTGTGTTTTACTCAGCTTTCTTCCCCTACAATAAATAACAATAAATTAAAAAATAGCTCAAACTGTATAGATGAATGGAACTAATATCTATTCAGAATCTGTTTTGAAGGAAGAAGGTCACATACATAAAAGTCAATTACCTTAATTGCACAAATTCCTTTTGTTTCTTGGGGAAGAGTGGACATTTCAAGAAAATGTTTTCAAAACAGGCATATGGGAAACCACTCATAATCTCTGCACTCAGAAGGTAGAACTCAATTCAAGGCCAGCCTAGGCTAAGGAAGTCTGAGGCCATCAGACTTCACAGAGAAATCCTGTCTTCCATCAATCAGTTAATCAATAAAGAGAAAATGTCTTTCAAGAGAAAGAAATGCCAGGTTATAAGTTTATCTTTGAAATTGTTCTTCATCAGCGAAATAAACTGTGCATAAAAGGTAACCAAAAGGTATGAGAACATTAATTGATTTCCTCTTACCTGTAAAACTTTCCCATGGACCACAGTTCCAAGGACTCCGGAACACAGTCTTGGAGTTAAGCCTGTGAACAATCCACGCTTCCCATCGATGCTTGCAATATGCTGAGCTAAGAATACAAGTCAGATTTAGGATCTAGTCCCAAAGTACAGTAACAATAAAACCTCAAAGCAGCAGACTTTCTATGTATTTTCCTTCAGTTACTCCAGCCCAGTCTTCAATGTCATCCATCCCAATTAAATCAAAGGCACCTACCATAACAAAAGAGACCAGGAAGCTGACATACTTGTCGTCCAAAAATATTTCGTCCTACTGTTGGAGGAAGAGGCTCATATCCCACCTTTAAAAACAAAGGAACACATCAACACTAAGAAGAAACCCAGGAATACTTGGCCGCAAAGTCTTGAAAAAAGAATATTATGCCCAGATTTTTCTTGTGTTTGGTGCTGAAATGAACCCCCATGTCCATCAGCAGCTACCTTCTCAGACCCATAATTTCTACAAATGAAAATGCAGTTTATGTTTCTTAAGGTTTTGGTGAAGTATTACCCTTATCAGTTTTTTTTGTCCTATTGTATAGATTAAGACTGGATTCAATCAACTCCAAAGTGCCCTTTGAGTTGAAGTCTACAGAACAAACCATTTAACTAAGATAGATTATCAAACTGAAAATAGAAGAAGGAAACCATTGTGTCAGGAAAGCCTAGTTTACCGATAAGGTTGACAAATTTCTTTTTTATAATTTTTTCTTTTTTGGTTTTTTTGAAACAGGGTTTCTCTGTGTAACCCTGGTTGTTCTGGAACCAGTTCTGTAGACCAGTACGGCCTCATTCACAGAGAATGACCTGCCTCTGCCTCCTAAGTGCTGGAATTAAAGGCCTGCGCTACCACTACCTGGCTTTACTTTTTTTTTTTTTTTTTTTTTCGAGACAGGGTTTCTCTGTAGCTTTGGAGGCTGTCCTGGAACTCACTTTGTAGACCAGGCTGGCCTCGAACTCACAGAGATCCGCCTGCCTCTGCCTCCCGAGTGCTGGGATTAAAGGCGTGCGCCACCAACGCCCGGCCTGGCTTTACATTTTTATATTTGAATAAAATGAGAAAATATTCACTGAGCCAGCATCAAATGCCTGCTTATATGGTTAACTAGACAACAAGGGCAAACGCATACAGCTAGGTAATTCACTTAGGAAAATAATTATAAGCTAGGTCTATGTTAAATGTAGACTCATTAGCAATACACAGAAAGCCATAAAAATTAACGATTGCCATTTTACTTACACAATATATTCAGGAATTGTAGTGTCAGAGGGATACTAGAGAAAAAAATACAGTAGGACAGATTGGGCTCTCTATTGTTGCAATTCCTTCATCTGTGCTAATACTCCCCCTCTGAGCTTACAGAAAAAACGCTACCATGCCAACTTTTAAAAGTTTTTGGGAATTTCACCAAACCCCTGAGATACTTGGCAACACACAAGATATTGTGAAATCAGAATTTAGGATATCAAATTGTTGAGGTAAGAGCACTGAATGTCACTAAAAAACACTGTCCTTTTGAGAACTATTGAATAGTGGACTCATACATGTACTGCAAAATACTGTCACTTATATCATGCAATCCTAGTCTCAAATGTGCCTCTATTTTAGACAAAGATTTCATTCTTTGCAGTTCAACTTCTACAATAAAATCTGAATATATATCAGTTAACTTGGTAATAATTTGTAAGAGTAACAATTCAAAACTGAGGTCCGTCCCAGAGTCTTGCTTTTTTTTCCCCCCCAGAACGGTAAAGAGTGAAGACAGGGATTCTCAGGCCTGTTTCCTTCCTTGACACAGGCATGGGATAAGTATGTCAACTATCAACAGATGCCTAAAAAACCGCCTGCTCATCACAGGGAAACTTGACTGAAAATACGATCCCCAGCTAAAAGTAGGCCTCCTCACCCATGAATATAAAATATCATGTAAGAACTAGTCTAAAGTAGATAAGAAAGTAAGTTAAAGAGAGGCAAGAGAGAGTTTGATGTTACGTTTAAATTCGCTAAACTCTTTAAGCAGAACTGATTTCCAGTTCTGACCAATGTGATTTTCATTGTCATGAACCACATGGGCTTCTTCTTGAGAGCGCTCAATGGATCCTTAGGAAATCTGACTTCATTATCACTTCTCAATGCACTCCTTGTGTATATCCGGGTATCTGGTGTTAGAATCTCTGAACGAAACAGAAGTAGAAACAGCAAAAGGGAAAGAAAAAACGAATAAAAAAACCAATAACACGTTGGCTTTCCTAGAACTTCAAATTTGCCCTCAGATGGGTATTTCAGTCTCGAGTCTGAGGAGGAGTGGACGAGACGAGGTGAATGTCAATTTCAGAGGGGCGGCAGGGAAAGGGTTGGGGAGCCCTCGGTGGCGACCGACCAGGATCCACCTCAGGGACGGAAAAACAAAGTTGAGAGGAGCCACCGGGCAAGGAAGGGCAGGGTGGCAGTTGGCTGCGGAGAGGGAGCGGGCCTGCCCGGGCGAGCCTCGGGGTGTTTTCGAGAGGGGCCGCGAGCCCGTTGGAGGTTGTCCCTGACGGGAGGAAAGGGCAGCATCGCCGGAGGGAGAAGGCCTGCGCCGCAGAGCCAATCCCCAGGCGCCGAGGGCGGTGGCGACCCGACAGGACGCCGACGGGGAAGGGCAGGGCGACGACTCATACCTGGATGAGCACTTTCACGTACATGAGCGGCTGGGACAGGATGGTGAGACCGGAGCCCAGGAGCACCTGACTGGCCGCGTCCGCCATGATGGCACCCGCGGACGGACGGACCGACAGACCGAGTCACCAAGCGACACAGCCGGTTCCAGATCACGTGTCGGGGGCGCCGGCTTCACTAGCCCGCCCGCCGCGCGCCGCCCGCTCAGGCCCCGCCCGCTGTCCCGCCCAAAGAAACGGCAGGCGCTCGCGAGGGGTGCCCGGGGCGGGGCTTATGGGCGGGGCGCGCATGCGTCTCGGAGAGGGCTCCGCGCGACCCTAGGACAAGCGGTTTCTTTTGCGCTTGCGCAGGCCGGAAGTGTCCGGAAGGAGTAGCGAGGGAGTGGTGTTGGGTTGTGTGTGTGTGTGTGTGTGTGTGTGTGTGTGTGTGTGTGTGTGTGTGTGTGTGTGTGTGTGTGTGTGTGTGTGTGTGTGTGTGTGTGTGTGCGCGCGCGCGCGCGCGCGTGTGTTTGGGGTGGGGGTAGGGGTGATGACCCTGACGGCAAAGGCAAGGTCAGAGGACTAATTCGGAGAACTCGGTTATACTTCATCCGCTCTCAGGCTTTGTCGACGTAGAAAAGTTCAAGGGGTGTTTTCCTGTTTTCCCTTAGAGTTGTCCTGCCTAATGGCCAACAAATACTATCCCGGTCTGGCATAACAATGAATTCTTCGGGTCCTGTTTTGCATTTATTACTAGCTCAGTGGTAGAGCACTTCCCAGCATATACTAAGTCCTCAATACAGGAAAAACAAAGCATCAGCAATAAAATGTGCCCTCTCAGGGTCGGATGTAGTGGCACTGGCCCTTAATCCGGTATTTGGGAGGCTGAGGCAGGTGGATATGTGAATTCAAGGTTAACCCGGTCCACAAACTGAATTCTGAGTAAGATGGGCTTACATGGTGAAACACTTGTCCAAAAAAATTTTTAATGTCTTCTCTGACTACTCTAAATTCACTTTATTGGCACCTGTTACTGGGAAATTGCCTTTGCCAGTTGAGAATGTCAAACTCTGGCAGGTTCAGGAACCCAGATGGCCTTTGTTCGTAATTTTATTTCCAGAGCCTGGCGTGTACCACTGCTCAACATTTATTACACAGATGAACAAATATTTCAGTGCCAGTCCGGCTCCACAGGCTAATAGAAGTAAAATGGAGAAAAGGTGCTGCGTCTACCTCGAACCTCCTGGTCTGTATTGAACAACACTTCGGCAGGTAATGTGTAACGCACAGAATGAGGAACCAAGAACTGCATTTGGAATCCAGCTTTTCTTTTGTACTCATGTATTACTTACCTTTCTTTGTATCTAAATATAAGGGCAACACAACTAATTTGCCTTCTCAGACTTATGAAAACTAAATCCAACTGTGTATATGGAGTTTTGAAAACTTGGTTGAAATACAAGTTAGTCCTACTATAGCTCTCTATTCAGCACAGAACTAGCTGATACTGGAAGGCAGTCACATGGGCTTTGAAGTCCAATGGACCTGATTCAAAGTCTACCTCTGCCTGATCCTAACTGTGACCTTATGTAGGTCATATCACCTCTTTAAAAAGTTTAGGGAAATTATTATGGTGATAATCCACTATATAACATTATGTCAAGGAATGAATGAAGTAATGTCAACCTAGCCTGGCACACACATCAAGATGTAATAGTAAAACAGTACCTTTTAGTTTGATAAGAAACTTAGAAGTTGCTTTTAAACTAACACTGACATTTCTCAACATCAGTGAGGAGCAAAGAGGTCATCTAGTAAGGGGATTGTGCATTGAGAGGCTCAGAGAGTATCACAGGGCTGAATGGGTAGACCACTGAGGCTGTTCCACGACATTCTTTAATGGCTCGTGGCAAAAGCTGCCCATGAAGGTTTGGAAAGACTGCAGAAAGGGGAGGGAACTGAAGTCAGAATTATGGGTAAGAGAAGAGCACAATTCAAATGGGCCATTCGTAAATATATGATATGAATACTAATCCCTGATAAGAGTTCAGTATGGTGCCGCTAAGGTGGGTTATCTAATGACATATTCAAGCTGGGAGAAGAGTCAAGGGGGTAGGGAGGGAGAGAGAATGGAACAGCACCATGGCACAGGTGGCAAGGCAACATTTGGGAAAAGACGGTATGGTAGTAATGTTAAAACTCTCCAGAGGAAATACGAGGGATTTACCAGCTAAAACACCCCTGGGCTGGGAGACAGTCTAACTTGGGAGAGATCAAAGTTTTATTTTTTTCAGTTCTGATCTTACCACTTTCTAGGTGGCCTGGGTTAGGTCATTCAACCTCTTGGTGCTGGAGCTGTAATACATAAACCATCCTTCACTGTTCACTCTAATAAATTAGAAATAGCCCTCCAGTCCCTCTCTCCTTGCTTTATATATGTCTCCCTTTCAATTCAATTTATTACTTTAAAATTGTTTCTCCTTTTCCATAAATATGAGACTATGAGTGTACTGGTTGGTTTTGTGTGTCAGCTTGACTTCATCAGAAAGGCTGGAGCCTCAGTTGAGGAAATGCCTCCATGAGATCCAGCTGTGAGGCATTTTCTCAATTAGTGATCAGCGAGGGCAGGCCCAGCCCAAGGTGTGTGGTACCTTCCCTGGGCTGGTGGTCATGGGTTCTATATGAAAGGTTGAGCAAGCCGTGAGCAGCATTGCCTCTGCCTCAGCTCCTGCCTCCAGGATCCTGCCCTGTTTGAGTTCCTGTCCTGACTTCCTTCAGTGATGAACAGCCAATTAGACCCTTCCCTCCCCAGCTTGTGTTTTGGTCATGGTGTTTCATTGCAGCAGTAGAATTCCTAATAAGACAATGAGGTACAAGAGGGCAGGGATTTTGTCTCCTGCTTACTAGCGTGGTGTGTGCTTTCTTTTTCTCCCTCCTCCTCTGTATCTCCCCCTGCCCCCCTCTTTCTTGACATGGTCTCACTATATAACACTGGCTAGTCTAAACTTGCTAGGTAGGCCAGGCTAGCCTTGAAAATACATATGCCCTCCTGCCTGAACCTCCCAAGTGCTAGGATTAAAGGGATATGCCACCGCATTTGACCAGTGTCATATTTCATCGTGTAACAGTGCCAGGTACAGAGGTGCTCAAGACAGTTGTTGGCATAGTGATTCCTGTGGAAACCCATAGAATTCACTGAGGAATGAATGAGGTGTCCACCTCATTTCCAAGCTGCTACTGCAGCTCCGATTGAAGGCTCTTGGTAAGTAGAATAGCCTAGAAGAGCTCCTTCATTGTCTTTTTAAATTGCCTTAGCCTCTCCTAAAACAGTCTGATCTCTTCAGAAAAAAGTCTGTGAATTTTATTATATATAGGATGTTGTTTGTTCAAGTGAACATAAAACTCCATCTAAGCTGGTTGAGAGGAAGAGTCTATGTTGACTTACAGAAGCAGTCTGGCCCCAGACTGGATCCAGGGCTTACCAGGTGATGCCTGTACTCTTGGGCTTTGTTCTCAGATAGGATGTAACTGTCACCTTACAATGTCACATTTCTAGGACCAAAGGAGTCACTCTCAACCCACAAGTTCTAGCAAACATCCCTGGGATCTGGATTGAGTTGTACACATGGTTCAGAGCTATTGTTTGTGACCCAGGATGGGCTAAGCAAGTCAGCTTGCCCAAAGTGGTTTAGAACAGCACAGTTCCCCCTAAGTAACACTGGAGTGCTGGTACAAAAATAAAGGCATGTGAGGCTGGGCGTTGGTGGCGCACGCCTTAAATACCAGCACTCCGGAGGCAGAGGCAGGCGGATCTCTGTGAGTTCGAGGCCAGCCTGGTCTACCGAGTGAGTTCCAGGACAGCCTCCAAAACAATACAGAGAAACCCTGTCTTGAAAAAAACCAAAAATAAAATAAAATAAAATAAAGGCATGTGATCATCTGGCAGGGAAAAATAATGCTTTCTGGGCCAACAAGATGACTCAGCAGGTAAAATCATCTGCCATGAAAGTCTGGTGACCTGATTTCAAACCCCAAACCCAGGGTGGAAGCTGTCCTCTCTGATCTCCACAGCAGCACAATGAGCACACACATAATAAATAAAATGATATTTTCTTCCCTCTCCCTTCTTCCTTTCTCCCCTTTCTGTGGTGGTTTGAATAAGAATGGCCCCCATAGGCTCATCTTTTGAATGCTTAGTTATCAGGGAATGACACTATTAGAGGGTTAGGAAGTGTGGCCTCGTTGGAGGAAGTGTGTTGCTAAGCATGGGCTACAGCTCTCAGTGTCTGTGTGCTGCCATGCTTCTCACAACTAAAACAGATGAAGCCTCTGAAACTCTAAGCCCCTAGTTAAATGATTTCCTTTTAAGAGTTGCCTTGGGCCGGGCACACCTTTAATCCCAGTACTCGGGAGGCAGAGCCAGGCAGATCTCTGTGAGTTCGAGACCAGTGGGGTCTACAAGAGCTAGTTCCAGAACAGCCTCCAAAGGCACAGAGAAACCCTGTCTCAAACCCGCAAAGAAAGAGTTGCCTTGGTCATAGTGTCTCTTCATAGCAATAGAACAATGACTAAGACACAAATTCCTTTGTTCTTTCTGTTAGATAGGGTCTCACCCTGCCCTTGAATTGGTGAACCTCCTGCTTTTCTCCTTTCACTATGTTGGTTTGGGAAAATAAATTCAGATCATCCTGCTTGGTAGCAAGTGCCTTAACCTATTTAACCATTTTACTAGACTTTTGCTTTTAAAGATCTCAAGTACCACAGAAATCAAACAACAATCAACAAATAAATGAGGTAAAACTACTTTAGAAAGGCTGGAAATCAATGTCACATAACTACTGCTTTTTGGCCTACAAGGATTCTACTACAGTGACTGGAGGGCTTTTTAAAATTTGTTTTGTTTTTCCAGAGTTTCTCTGTATAGCCCTGGTTTTCCTGGATCTTGCTTTGTAGACTAGGCTGACCTCAAACTCAGAGATCTACCTGTCTGTGCCTCCAGAGTCCTGGGGTTAGAGGTGTGAGTTAATCTTTTTTTATATATAATAATTTGAAACAACGGCAATGAATCATAGTCGTGCGTGCCTTTAGAGGTGAAGGCAGAAGAATCAGGAGTCCAAGGTCATCTGAGGCTATGTAAGGAGTTGGCTGGCAGGGACTACAGAAACATATCAGAAAAGAGAGTGTACACAGTTTGTGTTCCCTGCACTCCTCGGTCCACAGTTTGTGTTCCCTGCACTCCTCGGTCCTCATCTAAATAATGCCCCTCAGAAAGCGACCTTACAACTTCGTCTACTCAGAAAAAGTCTTTACCTTTGTTATAAATTATATCCCTTGAGAAATGTTAACAAACGGGCAGGAAAGATAGTTCAGGAGTTAAGAACACTCGCTGCTCTTCCAGAGGACCCAGGTTAGGTTCCTAGCACCCAAAGGGAAGCTCACAACCATCTGTAATTCCAACTCGATTCCAGGGGTCCCACGTGCTTTTCTGACCTTGGCCTTCAGGTACACACCATGGACTCAGCCTCCACAGCCCCCCCCCCATACAGTGCACATATCAACATGCAGATGGCAGAGGACCCAGCCCATTGTGGGTGGCACCATCCCTAGGCTGGTCTTCAATTGTATGAGAAAGTAGACTGTTGTCATGAGGGGCAAGCCAGGGGCAAGTGTCAGCAGGCAAAAAAAAAAAAAATCTAAAACAAGAAAGGACACGAGTAGCTGCACTCCCCAGCTAGAACCTTTAAAAGTGCTGCCAAGGAAAGGGCACCTAAACACCACAGATGGCCCTTTCTCCACCGTGTTCTGATCTCACCGGGGTCTTCACATTAGATCGCATTCCTCTTACCCGAAGCATCTTGATCTCCAGGTGTGTGGGTGGATAAGTGCAAGCAAAAAACAGAAAGAGGGCACTAATTCTCAATCTCTCTCGCGGTTTTTTTTGCAGTACCCAGGCTGAAATGGCAGCCAGTTCCAACTATCAGTTCTGCAGAGAGGCCCGTCCGTGGATCACACCAGGTCACCCTTCGCAGCACCGCCTCCCATCCTGGCCCAGGTGGCTTTAGTGGATCAAATGAGAAATGTTCCCCAGAGGTTCATGTGTTTGAACACTCGATCCCTAGTTGGTGCACTGCTTCGGAGGTGGGGGGTTGGGGGGGTGGAGGCTTGCTTTCGGAAGGGCATCGCGGGGGCAGGGTGAGGGGAGGGAGGGGTGGTTTTGGTTTTGAGGGTTTATAACCCCGCCCCTTCCAGTTTTCCTCTGTGTTCCAAGTTGGTATTTGATAATCCGACCTCTCAGCTTCCGGCTCTTGCTGCCGTGCTCCGACCTCCAGTATATGTACTCACCTGGGACTGGAAGCCAAAATAAACTCTTCCCTAAGACACTTTGCTCATGGAGTGCTATCACAGGAACAAAAAGCAAACCGTACAGAGACCAACACCTCTGAGGGTAAGGTAGTCTATGGTAGTATTCATTGTGGAACTCCTTATCGTAAGTTTTAAAAAGCGGCAAAGAGAGAAAGACACCATGCAACAGAGTTCAAGTGGAGGTTTTTTTGTTTTGTTTTAAATCAGGGAAAGGGTTCATAAAAAGGGGAAAGGAAGTGGGGAGACCAGCCTCGGGAACAGGAGCAGCAGGAGAGAAGAAAGAGGGAGAGAGAGAGGGAAGGAGGGAGGGAGAGGGAGAGACACAGGGAGGGAAAGAAAGAGAAGGGTGGGAGGTGGGCGGGGCTCTTTTAAAAGGGAACACAGTGAATAGGCACAGGTGATGCTCTTAGTGGATACAGCTGAGGGCGTATCCTGTCAGAACCCCAGTACAGATGCCTACCACTCCTCAGGGCACAGATGCCTACCACTCCTCAGGGCACAGATGCCTACCACTCCTCAGGGCAAGCAAAGACTACTGCACAGCTGCAGGAGTCACTTGTGGACAGAATCCATTCTTTTTCTTCTAAGATTTGTTTGTTTGTTTTGAGACAGGGTCTCACTTTGTAGTCCTGGCTGTCCTTGAACTTCCTCTGCAGACCAAATTGTCCTCAAACTCACAGAGATCTGCCTGCCTCTGCCTTCCAAGTGCTGGGATTAACGGTATGCATCACCACTCCTGTCTCTAAAATATGCTCTTAAAACCATACATAGGGGCTGAAGAAATGGCTCAGCAGTTGTGGTAGTTTGAATTGAGGCTCCCATAGGCTCATATGTCGGAATGCTTGGTCCCAAGTTGGTGGAACTGTTTGAGGGTGATGAAGAGGCATGGTCTTCTGTAGGCAGTGTGTCTCTGGGGCTGCCTTTGAAGTTTCAAAAGCCCATGCTTTCCTGTTTATGTCTCCTTGCCGCCTATTGGCTGGTAAGGATGTAAGCTTTTAGCTACTGCTCCAACAACTCCACATGCTCCCTGCCACGATGACCATGGACTCTTTTTTTTTTTTTGTTTTTTTTGTTTTTCGAGACAGGGTTTCTCTGTGGCTTTGGAGGCTGTCCTGGAACTCGCTCTGTAGACCAGGCTGGCCTCGAACTCACAGAGATCCACCTGCCTCTGCCTCCCGAGTGCTGGGATTAAAGGCATGCACCACCAACGCCCGGCGACCATGGACTCTTAACCCTCTGCAGCTGTGAGCCCCACATTAAGCTATTTTTATAAGTTACCTTAGTCCTGGTGTTTTCTTAAAATTACTTTTAATGAATGAATGCTTTTTATGTTCATTGGTGTTTTGCCTGCATGTATGTGTGAGGGTGTCAGATCCCTTGAAACTAGAATTACAGACAGTTGTGAGCTGTCATGTGGGCACTGGGAAATAACCTGGGTCTCTGGAAGAGTAGCCAGTGTTCTAACTGCTGAGCCATCTCTCTAACCCCCAGGTCAACAATAAAGAAGAACAAAGGTAGTGGTTAATAGCACTTGTTCTTACAGAGGACCTGGTTTGGTTCCCGGTACCCCCACCCCCCACATGGTGGGTAACTACTGTCTATAACTCCAGTTTCAGAGGATCTGATGCCCTCTTCTGGCCTCCACAGGCACAAAGCACACATGCAGTGTACATACAAACGCGCAGATGGGGGAGGTCCCATTGAGGGTGGTACCATCCCTGGGCTGGTGGTCCTAGGTTCTATGAGAAAGCAGATTGAGGAGGGATGCTCTCTCAGCCTGGACACATGGGGGAGGGCCTAGGCCCTGCCCGGGATGATATGACAGACTTTGAAGATTCCTCATGGAGGGCCTCACCATCCCTGGGGAGCAGAGGGGGGTGGGGTGGGGAATTGAGGAGGTTGGTGGAGGGTGGGGAAGGAGGGGAGTGTGAGGGAGCTGGGATTGACATGTCAAGCAAGCTTGTTTCTAATTTAAATAAATTACAACAACAAAACAAACCAACCAATCCAACAAAAATCAGACTGAGCATGAGCAAGTCATGAGGGGCAAGGTAGGGAGCAGCACCCTCCATGACCTCCATGACCTCCATGACCTCCATGACCTCCATGACCTCCATGACCTCCATGACCTCCATGACCTCTGCGCCAGCCCTGCCCCCAGGCTCCTGCCCTGCTTTAGTTCCCTTTTTTGATGATGAACTACTGTTTGTTTTTTTTTAAAGATTTATTTACTATGTACACAGTGCTCTGCCCGCATGTATGCCTGCAGGCCAGAAGAGGGCACCAGATCTCATTACAGATGGTTGTGAGCTACCATGTGGTTGTTGGGAATTGAACTCAGGACCTCTGGAAGAGCAGTCAGTGCTCTTAACCTCGGAGCCATCTCTCCAGCCCTGAATCAAACAAACCCTTCCCTCCCCAGGTTGCTTTTGGTGTTCATGGTATCTTATCACAGCAATAGTAATCCTGAGACAACTGGATTCCCAGGGAAAGCTCTAAGCGCTTGGTAGACTAGACTTTCTTATTTCTCTTTTCATTTTGGCTTTTCTGTGTAACTCTACTCCATGCCTCTTTGCTGTTGTATGTAGTAGTTTCTTCTTTCTTCCTTTCTTTCTCTTTCTTTCTTTCTTCTTTGAGACAGGGTTTCTCTGTATTGTTTTGGAGGCTGTCTGAAACTCACTTTGTAGACCAGACTGGTCTCAAACTCACAGAGATCTGCCTGCCTCTGCCTCCTTTGTGCTGGGATTAAAGGCGTGTGCCACCAACGCCTGGCTAGTTGGTTGATTTTTTTTTACTCTTTACTCTTTGGACTCTTGTTCTTTGGGAGGTCTGCCAAATAAATCACATACACGGAGTCTTATTCTTCTTATAAATTCCCGGCCTTTGCTTGGCTTGTTGCTGGCCAACTTTTATTAAATTAACCCATCTAGAGCTCGCTTCGGCAGCACATATACTAAAATTGGAACGATACAGAGAAGATTAGCATGGCCCCTGCGCAAGGATGACATGCAAATTTGCGAAGTATTCTATAGATTAAAAAAAATTAACCCATCTACCTTTAACCTCTGGGCTTTTAACTTTCTCTTCTGTAAATCTTACTTTTACTCTTACTCCATGGCTGGCTGGATGACTGACCCCTAGCATCCTCCCCTCCTCCCATTTGTTGCTCCTTCTTCTTTTTCCAGATTTCTCCTCCTGTTTATTCTCTCTGCCTGCCAGCCCCACCTATCCTTTCTCCTGCCTCACTATTGGCCATTCAGCTCTTTATTAGATCATCAGGTGTTTTAGGCAGGCATAGTAACACAGCTTCACAGAGTTAAACAAATGCAACGCAAAGGAATGCACCACATCTTTGCATCATTAATACAAATGTTCTACAGCGTGAACAAATATAACCCACTTTAAAATAATTTTCCACAACAGTCACACTGGGGCTAAACCTAGGAAAACGCTGTACTACTGCTAAACTCCAGTCCCATTCCATGCCTTGCCTCTTGAGTTCATCACATTCAATAAAGAAGTTGAAACTGAGTCAAAGAAAAGTCATCTTTAAAAGGGATTTGTGTTTCAGGAAAAAAAATAGTACATGGCTCCTGCAGAATGTGCAGTGTGGTTACTGACAGAAGTTGTTCAAGGTCAAAGTTTTATAGACGTATACAAGCAGAGAGCAAAGAGGACGAATTTAGATCTGAGAGTGCTTAGAGGAAATCTGAATTGGATTGAAGTTTGAGGAATAGCAAGTCCCTTCATTCGTTCCTTCATTCATTCATTCATTCATTCTTTCATTTGACCAATACTTTTTTTTTTTTGAGACAAGGTTTCACAATGTATTTCAGGCTGATCTTCAATTTATAACACTCATGCCTCAAATGCTAAGATTACAGGTGTATGCCACCAAACCTGGCAAATATGTTCCTTTTTTCTTCTTGTAGTGCTAGGGGTCAAAGATAGACCATTGGACATGATAACTAGGTGCTGTTTCTTCGGTCTTTAACATTGTTTTTGAGTTATCTAATTGTTGGGTCCTAGTTGGAGAAAACCATATGAGCAGTGCTTAAGACTGCTCAAGGCCATGACTTCAGTAAGAGAAAATTTATGTGGGGAGTAGAACTCAGAATTGAGGTAGGAAACTGTAAAGGAGGAAGGTTCTGGAAGCTTTGATTATGAGGTCACAGGGATCCCTATAAGGTTTTTAGAAATGATTTAGAAGAAATGATTCAGTGGTTAATAGCACTGAGTGTTCTGCAGAGGACCAGGGTTCAATTCCCAGTTCTTAAATGACTGCTCACAACTTTCTGTGACTCCAGTTCTGGGAGATCTGATGCCCTCTTCTGTCCTCCTTGGTCACCAGGCACACACATGGTGTACATACATGCAGGCAGGCAGGCAGTATAAATGGGAAGGCCATGTGGCCAGCAATCAGAAACTTGGAGACAAGCTGCTCTGGTTTGCTCTGTGGCCTTGGGTCCTTGCCTCTCTGGAAACCTCAGTTTCTCCACTTGATAAATTAGGGAGGCAAGAGGCTCAAGTGTGCCATGCAGGTGATGACCTAGGGGACTGTGTCGCTTCAGAAGCAGAGTGCTCCTGGGCTGGGATAAGGACGGATGAACAGCAGTCCTTGCTTCTTCCCTGCCACCGAGCCATTCAGGTCTGCTTTCCAGCCTTTCCCTTCCTGGCCACACAGGAACAGGTTTGGACGCCCCCCCCCCCCATTAGTCTCTATTCCTTGGGCATCGGAACTCTCCGTGACCTTGTAATCTCTGCTTTAAGAAACATAAATTTTCATTCAAATGAGCTAAATAAGAAAGCAGATTTGTTTTGTGAGACAGGAGCACCTGAATTCAGGTCTCCTGAGATAGGTGAGTCTGCCAAAGGCCTGGATCTAATAGATCCCACTGTACCCTTTGCAGTGTACTACAGAAGCGTGTCTTCACACACACACACACACACACACACACACACACGCACGCGCGCGCGCGCGCGCATGCACACACAGTAAAAGGAGACTTGTATCCTT